TATCCATTTAAAAATTTTAAAGGGAGCAAAACATTAAAAAAATTATACAAAATGTGAAATAAGTTGACCTTTAGATAGTTTTCAATAGAAAACACGCAGACGTACACAATAATTCTCAGCTGTGCTAGATATACATGTACACAGTCGTCATCGACGTTGTGGTTAGTCTTCAGACTATCTCTATTATATGTATAAAAAAGAAAAATGATCGTCCGTGTACGATTTTTTTTCTTCTGTTCGGCCTTCGATCATTAATTGATCTAACTGATATGACTGAACTTGGTTCAAAATGTGAAAAGAAAAGGAATGAATTATTGTTATCGAAAAATAGTCTTATCAATGCCGAACTTTTTATTAAATGTTTTGCAAAAATGCCCCTTTTTTGACACTTTGTGGACGCACGAATCCACCACCAAAAACGCGTATTCTTGCGCTGTGATTCTTCGTGCAAAATTTAACAAAAAGTAAAGCTTTCTCTGTCTGTTATCATACTTTTTTTTATGCGTTATATTGCACATATGTTGCTTAATCTCTTATTTGCCGTTGGAAGTTTGTTCTACGATAGGCTGCAAAAACTTTATCGTAAAACGCAAAAACTTTTAACATGAAAAACTAATGCGAAATATTGTGTAACTATGCAAAAAACTGTTAGTTAAGGCAAAAATGTTTAGGTTTACACTAAAATCAGATTTGAAAATCGTTACTCTTCGTTTTTTTGGCGTAATACCACAAAAATCGATGAGTCATCGAAGTTTCGCCATGTAGTACGAGCCCTTACGATCATAAACTAGTGATCCAATAGGTGTATTATTAAAGAAATACTGTTTCTCTAGTCAACGGAATTCAGAAAATGAAGCTGGGATGTATAATTTTAAAGACCTTGAGACCAAAATTCGAGAGAAAATCGCTTTCCACTAAAAGTTTACTTAGAAAATTTTCAAAGTGACTTCTCTTTATTACAATGACTTTTCTGGAAGACAGATCCATGAGCGGTGCGACATCGGTAAAACTTCCAAGGACATGTCTATTCTCCGAGAGAGATGAAAGATTGAAGTTTATTTTTATAGAGAGAATCCTAGGGGAAATAGATCTCCGAAAATGTTGGCGTTTACATTAAGAATATGCAAGAATGTTAGTAGGTAAGACTGTAGAAATATAGTCGCGCCAGTGTTTTTGCTAGAAGACTTGCTGTCCCTAGTGAAGGTTACGGAAGTTTTCACACGTTTTGCTCCACAGAAGCAACGCTGACAAGCTTTTTTATTCGATTTAGTTGATAAATATAATGTGATAGTAAATCTAACCTAACTACACTAAGTAATATGTCATGTACTAGTCAACGTTAAAAGAATTCCCAAAAAAGATAATATTGTCTTGTGTTACCTCACAAATGTTTCATGTCATCTAAAAAACGTGTGAAAAATTTATACACGTTTTGTCACATGTCAAGCTCAGGTCAAAGATTCACGACCGTATACTATAGTATTTTGTCGTATTTTGACGTAAACCGGGTCAACATATTACGTCTATCGTAAATGACGTCGTTTACGTTCGAATACGACGAAATACGATGGTTGTAACGGCTAACGCAATACGTTGACCGGGTTTACGTCAAAATACGACGAAATACTACAGTATGCGTCAAATTACGTCGTCATAATTTGTCGTATACGACCGTATAGGACGGGTTGTCACACATTTTACTGCAGGTTGTGAGGAAAGGCGCACCTCATTTTTTGTATAATTAAACTTTAAAAGAATGTTCGAATAGGCTAAGCTTGTAATAGCGGGGGGTGCAACTTTAATTAAAGACTGTCATGAATTAATTGATACTATTTCGATTTTAGAAATTCTATGGAACTGCATGGCATTACAAAAATGGCATTAAATAATTCGGACGATCTGTCATATATCTTTTGTATTTCAGTATGACGCTTTTATAGTATCATGCTTTTTGTATCTTGATCTTTTCTTTAAAAAAGTTTTCTCATCGTTAGACGACAATTTCATTGCTGAATATTAGGAATGCCAGGTGTTTAAGTGGTTTTCCCTAAAATATTGTTTTTATCATCGATTTATTTTCTTGTTTTTTGTTGTTTATACCACTTTTAGGAGTACGATACTATCGTTAATAATAATACCAGGACTGACGTTTTCCTCTTGTGACCAGACTTGTGTTTGATGACTTGAATCCTCAAAAAATGACTTGTATCTTCAAAAAAAGAGAAAGGTTTCCGAAGGAGATCAGCGATATATGTGTATAAATATACTTGTAGTTGATTGTCCGCTTCTTTTTGCGTCTACTGAAATGGAGTGTAGCAAGAGCTGCTTCATAGAAAATACCGCATAATCTATCATTCTCCGTTCATTTTTCCACACGTTTCGTTTAATTTGCTAACGAAACTAAATTTTTATATTGAAGTCTCTTTGGATAAACGTTTGTAAAGTGTATAACAGATTAAAACGTGTTAAAAAGACTAAAAATAAACATTGTTTATTGTTGATAATATAGTTGGTGTTTGCTGATGATTGTTTTAGTAGTCAATTATGTATGACGCTTCTTTCTAGTATTTCCATTGTCTTGTTTACTTAATTTCTTTCCTTTTCTGAATCTGTATTCTACTCTCTTTTTTTAACATCCTTGGTTCTCTTAGGCCTTAATAAAATTGGTACGACGTGTATCTAGAATTCGAGGTAAAGTTTTTTGTAACATGATTCTGCTTCGTTTCAAACTCATGTATTTTTTTTGAAAGCGTTCAAGAACGGCACAATAAATGCAAAGTGTAAAAAAGCCATTATTGTAGTAACAGCAAATAAAAAGGTGAATAACTTTTAACCAAGTCGACCAAAAAACGGTACGTTCAGAGCGATCATTAATCAGTCGTGCTTAAACATCAATTAACAGCTAAGAAACGGAAACATTTTTTCCGATATTATACAGCCTAACAACTTTGTTTTTAATTAATTGCAGGTTGAATCAATCTGCTCAGCTCAAAATATGACAAAATTGTATCGCAACTAGTAGTGAAGGAAATGGTCTACTCTTTTTGCTCCATATGTCACAACGAACGTTTTTATTATTTATTCAATAGTATAGTTTCACATAGTTTCCACTGTCTTCTAACCACAGAGCCCTTGAAATGATGTCCTATGATTCCTTTTATAATATTGCCTAAAGAATAGAAAGTTAGCTTAATTGATTTTAGTCGACGGTTCCCTTCGATATTACGCGTTTTTCTGGATAATCATACGCAACAAACATTTCATTAAGTATCAGGCACTAAAACAATCGTGAAGTGGGCGTTTGCAGCAACCTCACCCAATTTTAACTCACCAAAACTAGCTGGTGCGTTTGAATTGGGCGCTAATCACTCGATTAAATTAAGCGTCCACCGGATCACCCGCTTGAAGCTAGCAAGTGGGCACTTGCTCGGTGCAACTAGCTATTTGATCCAGAAATCTACTCTTAAGTGAACGCTTAAGTTATTTTATAAGCTAGATTTCCTTGCTTACTCTTTTTTGCTCGGGTAGCACTACCCAAGCACGAAAAAAAATCATGAAGCGGGCGCTGCATCTAGATTAAAAGGTACATTTATCTAGCTTCAGCTAGCTGTACAGAAATACATGAAAATTTTATCTAGCTTCAGCTAGATTGAAGCTAGTTTCAATTGGGTACAACTAGTTGCTATCGATTAATTGGCCCATGAAGTGACCGTTTCAGCTAGTACACAATTTCAATCATCACGCAGCTAGATAAATGTACCTTTTAATCTAGTTAATCTGGCTGTAAGTGGGCGCTGCAGCTACTTCTGTAGCTAGATTTTCTCGCTTACTTAGTTTTGCTTGGGTATCAAAGTATTACGTGTAAGACAAACTCTAAATGTGTTCGTGTATGTATATCTTCATACGTCGTGTTCCATGAAACGGATCCGGCAGTTAATAGACCACGGATATAAAGAGAGTACGGCTATTTTCTGTTAATAGCTTGTAGTCAGACTCGATATGAGACGAAACGTAAGGGAAAGATGTTGTCAAACTAAGACAGACGTCATGAAATTGGCTAGAAACCACTTCAACCCAAACGTTTTTCAGAGATCCGCAGACAATATCATGAGATTCTCCATGTATGAGACCTTTGCATTAGAATGATAATCCACCCTTTTCTGATACTCTCTGGACTATTTGTTTTTCAATGCTGCGAGCACTGAAAAGTTTTTCTAAATCTGCTACTGGTAAACGCAGTAATAACATTTACTTTCTAACTCAATAAAGTAAGTTGAACACTGCTCAACTTACTTTATTGAGTGTTATTATTGTTATTATTGTATTATAATTATTGTATCTCGGAGATACAATAATTGATTTAACAATAATCGGTGACAGTAATCGGAGAAAGATACACCATCAACAAAACTTTTGTTGATGGTGTATCTTTACAAATTTCATTGCTTGAATAAACTTTATCCAAGCAATGAAATAGTTTTAAAGTTGTAAGGATGATCTATTTTGAACAGAATTTCATAAAAGCAAGTGATTGATCCGCAGCAACCAATCATTAGCTGTCAATCGAGATTATCCAGACAAGAAAGAGTAAGCAAGGAAATCTAGCTTATAAAATAACTTAAGCGTTCACTTAAGAGTAGATTTCTGGGTCAAATAGCTAGTTGCACTGAGCAAGTGCCCACTTGCTAGCTTCAAGCGGGTGATCCGGTGGACGCTTAATTTAATCGAGTGATTAGCGCCCAATTCAAACGCACCAGCTAGTTTTGGTGAGTTAAAATTGGGTGAGGTAGCTGCAAGCGCCCGCTTCACGATTGTTTTAGTGCTTGGGCAGCTCGATAATCCGTTTGGAGCAGTACACCATTCCTTCGCACGATAAAGAGCACAGTTTAGTTTCAAAACTTTTATGCGTTTGAATTGGCGCAAGTTCTTCTGTACTCTTTTATCATAAACGAAAAGCTTTCGCTCACGAAAGATGGATAATTGATTAAAAATCACACTCAATGTCTAACGGTGGTGCTAGTATTCAAAGTGCTGTATCGGCAAGTGTCAATAATGAACAGTTGATATTACCAAAAAAATTATTTAATTGTAAAGAAATAAAAAGCCGTATCCATGAAATATTACATGCGAGTTTACACGATAAAGAATATAACTCGGACGAATGTGTATGTTTAGCTAAGAACATTTCGGGACTTGTTAAAGACTTATTGAAATCGATGGGTTATGATCGATATAAGTTTGTTGTACAAGTTGTTATTGGCGAAGAACGTTCTGATAGTTTACAGATGGCTTGTCGGTCCTATTGGGATCCACACAGTGATAGCTTCGCACAATCGATTTATATTAATCAATTTTTTCTTTGCGTATGTACAGCGTTCGCTGTTTATTACTATTAAGGTTGATGAAAAACTTCTATTTGTTTTTGAAACTATATGTATAGATATTTTTTGAATAATACGATTATCCATCGTGCTTGGAAGTGTGAGTGGGACCTACAGAAAACTTTAGAGGTTTTGGATATTTTTGCGTTTCTTTTTGATGAAGTTGGGATCTGTGATGTTTGTCCGATGTCGAACATTTTTGTTGAATATCGCCGGTAAACCGCGATTCACAAAAATATCGTCGATTACCGCAGTATAATCTAAAACTCGATACATTGGCAGTAATCGAGCGGTATTCTCCACACATCAAAATACCGCTCAACACACCGTTTCAAAGTTATTCATCTTTTTGTTTTGATGGTTAGGGAAGTATATAACGACGACAAAAACTAAGAGATTTCTAACTTTTCTCCCACTAACTCATCGAAGTACATGAAATTTGACTTGAGTTAGTAAGACAGTATTGCCTCGCTGTACATCGTAGTACGTCCTACGATGACTGTTATCCGTGGCTATCGGCCAGCCGAAAATTCTCGAAAAACCATCAAGGCTATTCGTTTTTTATTGGCGATATTTTTAAAATACCGCGCGATTTACTGCTGGTATACTGGCGGTATTCAAGACATGGAATTCATTCACCATAGGCCTTAAGGAAGATATAATCTCTATTTCTATTAGTGACATTGTGAAGAAAATACATTTGCTGTTTTTTTCGTACGTTGGAAATCAAAGTCAAACGAACGAACACTTAATTGTCTGAAGAAAAACAGTTAGTCCTTCAGTGTTCTATAATAAGAGTAGTCGAAAATGGAAAAGGAACATCTGAAAATAGAAAACTGAAGGATTGCTTTCTAACGATCAAAATGATAACTAAATTGCACCTATCCAAAATACTCTCTCTGATCAGTATAATATTTGATGAGAAGACAAATCACATGCTCTCTAACAAAAAGGGTGCGGACTGAACATCTTTCTTTTAGATGGAATCT